TTCGGCAACAGTGATGTCTACTACTCTGTCTTCTAGCTCACTGATCCATTCTTCTGAATCATTTATTCTATTATTGATTCCTTCTAGTGTATTTTTCATTTGAGTTATTGTATTCTTCATCTCTGTTTGGTTGTTCTTTATGTTTTCTAACTCTTAGTTAAAAAATTCTAACTTCTTGCTCTGTGCATCCATTCTCCTCCTGAGTTCTTTGATCATCTTTATGATCATTACTCTGAACTCTTTCTCAGGTAGATTGACTATCTCCATATCACTTAGTTCTTCTTCTAAAGATTTATCTTGTCTGGAACATACTCCTCTACCACCTCATTTTGTCTAAGTTGCTATTTGTATTTTTATGTGTGTGGTTGGTAAGTTAACGTTTCTCGACCTTGGAGAAGGCATCCTATGCATCCGAGCAGTGCACCCACGGTATATGCTCTAGGGGTTCCCCCTAAGAGGGCTGGGTGGGTCCTCCTCTTATGACAGGCTATGTGGGTGGTCTGGTAGGCTTGGTTGGCCCCTAGTCTGGTTGGTTGCCAGGCCCTGCCTTGCGCAGTTGCTGCTGGCTGCAGTTTAGTGGGGCCTGGTCACGAGGCGGCTGGTTGTGGAATCCTAGGGGGCCCTGGGGCTAGTGCTCACTGGTGGGTGGAATCAGGGTCCCAAAGACTGAGGCTGTCGCCAACTCACTGGCAGGTAAAGCCAGATCCTGGGGTTAGTGCTGGAATAGTGGCAGGGAGAGCTGGTTCCTAGAGTCTGGCTGCAGGGCCCTGGGATCCCAGAGCTCATTTCAGATCACTGCGGGGGGAGGCAGTTGTCTGTGGGGTCCAAGATGTCTGGAAGGTTGCGTTGGCCTGCTACTGGGCACGGCCAGGGCCCAGCTAGTCCCAGGAGGCCCTCATTGTGGGATTGTAGTTTTCTTGCTTCTGGTGTCTGCTCTGTGGTGGGTGAGGCTGATCTAGAGGTTTGTACAGGTTTCCTGGCAAGAGGGGCCAGTGCCTGCCCACTGGTAGGTAGAGTTGGGTCTTGGCCCTCTGGTGGGCTGGGCCCTGTCTAGGGGTGTGTCCACAGGCGGCTGTGGGTTCTTTAGTCTGTAGGCAGCCTGTCTGCTGATGGGTAGGGCTGTGTTCCTGCGCACTTAGTGGTTTGGCCTGAAGCACCCCAGCACTGGAGCCTGCAGGCTGTTGGGTGGGGCCTGGTCTTGGTGCTACTGATCCAAGATGTCAGTTGTCAGGACTGTTCATGCAGTTGAATGTTTCCCGGTATGTCTGACACCAGTGTCTTTGTCCCCAGGGTTAGCCACAGCCACTCCTTACCTCTCCAGGAGACTCTCCAAGGTCAGCAGGTAGATCTGACCCAGGCTCTTATCAAATTACTACTTTTGCCCTGGGTCCTGGTGCACGTGAGATTTTGTGTGAGCCCTTTAAGAGTGAAGTCTTTATTTCCCCTAGTCTTGTGGGGCTCCTGCAGTTAAGCCCTGCTGGCCTTCAAAGCCAAATGCTCTGGGGGCTCCTCTTCCCAGTGCTGGAACCCCAGGCTGGGGAGCCTGATGTGGGGCTCAGGACTCTCACACCTGTGGGAGAACCTCTGCAATATAATTATTCTCCCATTTGTGAGTCGCCCACCTGGGAGGGTATGGGATTTGATTATATCGCAAGTCCCATCTTGTTATGGTTCCTTCTTTATGCCTTTCATTGTAGAAGATCTTTCCTGGAAGGTTCCAGTCTTTTTCTTCGATGGTGGTTCTGCAGACAGTTGTGATTGTGATGTGCCTGTGAGAGGAGGTGAGCTCAGGGCCTTTCTACTCTGCCATCTTCTTGGCTGGTGCTCTGGGCCCTGTGTCAATCAGTCACTGCCTCTGAGAAGAGGGGGGAATAGTAACTTCCCAGGTGAGGCGGGAGGCTCCAGTTTAGCCACAGGCAGATCTCCAGAGAAGTGGCCAGCTCTGAGCCGTTAGCAGCCAAAACCCGCAGCAGCTGGAGGACAGATGCACCAGCCTGGTGAAGGGATCCAGGTAGAGCACCAGCGGCATCCACTGCGGTCCACTTCTTGAACCACTCAGAGTCATGTGCTTTTCATGTTGTTCATTCCATTCAGGCATAGCTTCTCCAAGATTCTGGCTGGTTATAATTTCTGGGAAAATTTACAGAGGAGGGTTGGTAGAGCAAACTACAGCCCTTGATGCTGTCTCAAGGGCTTGACTGATACTCATCATCTCCTCACCCACTCTAGGTTCCCGCCTCCCTCAGCTGGTACTTCTGTTGGTCCAGGTGGCTTGCCTTGTGGCATGAGCCCCTGGTTCCCGTGCCCTTATCAGGATGTGGTTTGTCATCTACACTTAAATCTGGGCATGAGAGCACCAAAAGACCACCTCAGTGGATTACCCGAGTTCCAAACCTATTCCTCACTGCTTCCATCATGTAGTAGTAGCCTTACCTCTTCATGATGCTTGGGGTCAGTTCCCGCTGCCAGTATAGTCCCTCTTTTCTGTGCCTCTGATCTGTCAGCATGAGGAGGCCAAAGTGAGTAGGTACAGCCAAAGCTTTACGTTTAGGGAGACTCTTACAGTCTCACTTGGTGAGAGGCATTGCTCCTCTGAGACCAAAGACCTGTAGACCAACCAGACAGAGACAGAAGGAACAAGTTCTCCAAGAGGGCCAACAGAGAGTGAAGCCATTCCTACATCCTCCCTTCTGTTCCCAGATCACTGTTACGAACACAGCAGCCTATAACAGCCATTGGTTTAAAGTCTCTACCATACGCTGAAGAATGGCACCCCATCCGCGCGGGATATGATTTCCAAGCTAATTCCTCAGCTGTGCCTTCAAGAAGCCTATCAGGCTAGCATCCTCTGGAGACACTTCATGCTGTATGTGGTAGAACCAGTAGATACCCGGTCACGCCCTCACTGCCATACTCCTCTGCTGTAAAGTAGGCTCGTTTATTATTAATCAGGATCTCATGTCAGTAAATCAGTTACTCTGTGAGCCCTCGGATAGTGGTGCTGACCGAGGCCCTGCAGGCAGGAAAGGCAAATTATAGGATACACAGCAGTTCTGGTAAGGATAACACATTGCCCTTTCCAAAGTGTAAGGGACCTGATGTAATCTAATTGCCACCGAGAGGCTGGCTGATGTCCTTGAGGGACGGTGCCACATCAGAAGCTCAGCTTTGGCCTCTACTGCAAGCAGATCAGCCATTCAACTGGAACAGCAGCTAGATGAACCTGGGTAAAAGGGAGATGGTGCTGTTCGGCCCATGCATAATTTCCACTGGAGTGGCCAAGGACAGAAGCTAGATCAAGTCATCCTGTCTACTTCTTAGATGCTCTGTCTCACTAGCACACTAGCGTGACAGGAACTGTTCTGCAAATAGTAAACAGTTTTCTGCAGCAGATGGCATGGCCTTGCTGCAGAATCTCAAGGGTTTGTAACACAACTCCCCGCCGAACCTTGCCAAAGGCTCCACAGAGCATTTTTCTCTATGAGAAATTCTTCTAGTATGAGAGCTGCTAAGTCATTTCACCCAACTAGCAGGACTGCTTTTCCCCCCATTCCCAACTTACTGCAAAGCCCTTTCTTGCTCTGGGCCCTGCTCAAAAACAAACAAAACTGCCTCTGTGTCCACGTAATAAATGAGTCAGGTTATTCCTCCCAAGAGTGGAACATACTGCCTTCCAAACCTGAAGAGACCTACCAAGCTTTATGCTGGATACGGTGATAAGAAATGCAAGGTGCATTAATTTGTGCTTAAAAGGAGATGTCCTGACATGTTCCATATCACCAGACACCTACAAACAAAGTGTCAAGCCTTGAATTGCTTCTGGGGTTTACCTTTCACTCTCTGGAGTACCTGTGTCTTTCCAAGCCTTCAACACGCTTGCCAATTCTTGCTCATCAGGGCTTAGCATGATGTTCATGTTACTGTATCATGTTCTATACTCTGCAGTCCGTGGAACGTCCAGGTGGTCCAGGCTCCCTGAGAGTGTATTATGACAGCATCGTTAACATAAAACATAATGTTGGAGCGAGAACATGGATGTGTACTGTCTATCCCGTGAGAATGCTAACTGCTTCTGATCTTCCTCCTTACTGAGTATTAAAAAGAATGCATTTGCCAGATCAACAGCAGCATACCATGTCCCCAAGACTGTGACATTCTACTTCAGTAAAGATGTGATACCTGGCACGGCAGCTACAGTTGGGGCTACTACTTGGATAAGCTGGCAGTACTCCACTGTCATCTGCCACAGTCCCTACACTTCTGGCAGAGGCCAGACTTGTGAACTACATCCCCCTATAACAGAGTTCACCTGCATACAGATCGCTGACTCTCCAAACACTTTATAAAAATCCCATTCTTCCCATAAAACAAAAGTTGAAGAAAAGTCTGGGGGGTGCCGCAGAACTAAAAAATTAAAGTACAGATTTCCCCAACTTACTTTTTTTAATTAACTGAACAAATTATTTTGAACGAAACACTGTAAAATTATGGTATCATTGCCCTTCATTCCTCAGCCACCCATTGTATGTGTGTGCGTGTGTGTGTGCAAATAAGCACTACACAGGTCACAGTTAACTGAGCACTTCCATACCACATGAAGGGTGGAAGCAGGCACTCATCACTGAAGTGTTCTCAACTGCAGTTGGACAAACAAGCTAGCCCAGAATTACGCACCCACCTCCACTATACATCATGCTTTTATCCCACCTCACCTGGCCACCTCCATGCAGCAGCGAGCCCCCTTGAAGCCCAGCCTTAAGTTTCTTTCCTCTATAAGCTTTCTTTGCCCGACTCGACTATACTCTTCACTTGCTGTTTTCGTTCCTTAAGGGTTTCATTAGCAGCAACTGTATTACACTGGTGTAGAGAGTTCAGCTCAAGACACATTATTTCATTAAGAGTTGCAGTGTTCTGTCAGGGGTGAAGCATACCAAGAAATATGAAAACTTTTTGTAAAAGACCTTGTGTTCCTCATCTAACTTTTCTTTTTCTTTTTTCAGTTGCCCCCAGATATAGCCTTCCCCACTTCTTTGGCCGCACAGCATTTCTTTCTGGAGGAGGAGAAGCGAGCAAAAGAACTTGAAAAACTTCTGAATACACATATTGATGAACTGCAAAGACACACAGAATTTACTCTTAATAAACACACCAAGCTAAAACAAAACAGACACATATGAGCTTTTAAACTTTTTTATTTGCTTCGCCCACCCCAAGGAAAAAAGCTCTGGCAAAATAGTTACAAAGCTGATTCGTGAAACTGAGAAATTTTGTTCTGTTTTCCTGAGTAAATCATTTCTGTAAGGCAGCTAGAAAATAGTATTTTGTTCAATAAAGCTGTTTGTATTTCTGCATTAACAAACAAATTGTTCAGCTACAGTTACTCTAAAATAAACATGACTTCTCCAAAAGAGATTTTTTTCTCCAGTCTGAGGAATAGTTTGGAATTAAATATGCAGTTTTTTCCCACCTGAATCATGTATACTGAAACCCATTTCCTCTGTAACAACACATGATGAGGGAAAGGGACACACTATATTCTAAATACAAACGGATCAAGTGCAGCTCTGTTGTACTAGGTTTCAAAACCCAATGATTTTTTGAAATGAATAGCTATGTAAACATCCTAACATTTCTTTTAGGAAAAAAAGATACAGCTTACTGTTGCTGCATTCATCTTTGTAATGTCTCTCTGTTTTTTGTTTGTTTGTTTGTTTTGTGGTACGCGGGCCTCTTACTGTTGTGGCCTCTCCCGTTGCAGAGCACAGGCTTCAGACGCGCAGGCTCAGCAGCCATGGCTCACGGGCCCAGCCGCTCCGTGGCATGTGGGATCTTTCCCAGACCGGGGCACGAACCCGTGTCCCCTGTATCGTCAGGCGGACTCTCAACCACTGCGCTATGAGGGAAGCCCCGTCTCTCTGTTTTAACACAAAAGACCTGGAATGTGCTGTTTGCACACTTAAAACATATGTGCCAAATATTAATGCTTTCCTGTTAGTACTAATTATTACTTCATGGACATAAGATAAAGAAACTATAAAGCATTGCTGTTGTTACCTTCTCCTTTGTCATACCTCTGTTTTAAATACAATTAAAGAATGAGAAATTCTTTGGACTTAAAACATAAATGCCAAGTCTGTAAAGAATAGTAATAGCATGGTGGTGAACAAGGAAACTCAAGTTCCAGATATACAAGCATGATAATCCACTTTTCTTTCTTTAAAAATGACATTTATATAAAGATTACGAAAAATCCCCACGTCATTACTCCAGGTTAAGTCCTACAGTTTTTATAGTTTTCTTTTTCTCTTTGAAGAAACTAAATCTCCACATACGGAAAGATAAGTCACAATGTCCTTAGACAAGTGTCATTTTCACGGGAAATGCAGAGCCCTGTTCACTTCAGCTGAAACAACCACGTGGGTTTGGAGAGCTCTTGACATTTGCAAAAAGCCTTCAGAGAGCATTATTCATTTCAGCCCAAAACAAGCCTGTGCAGTCAGCAAGGCTAGTATCCTTGTTCCTGGGAATCAAGCTGTGAAGAACTTACTAGAATCACGGTGCGCAAGAGTCAGAAACGCCAGCCTCTGATTCCCAGCTCTGGCTCTTACCACTTCCCAGCATTATGTCTTGTCAGCAAGCAGGTGGTGAGCAGTGCTCTATCCACAGAAGCCATGTTTCATGGCAAAATATCAGAGGGTACAATGACCCACATGAGGAAAATAACCCGTTACCATAGCTTTAATTAGAAATTTAGTAATTTCTAGCCTGGACACAAAGAAAATAGAATACTTTTCAGTGTTATCTTTAGAAGATGGGAAGAAACAGTACATTTAGGTAAAGGACAGTTCATAAACAAATTCTAAAACCTTTATATCCCTAATGCAAATGCAAACAATGCAAAAATTTAAAGGTACGTATCTTTAAAATACGCTACGTCTGCATGTTGGATCGAAGACTCTAGACTACAATGATTTTAAAACAACAAAGTCAAGAGAGCACGAACCTGGAATATGTCCAGGACTCACAGTGCATTTGCCCCTCCAGATTATTATGTCAAGTCCACAAGCAAACTTCTTTTAAATCACGAGGTTCGACATTCCTCTTCATACCCACTTTCTTAAAACAGTGGTTTTCAATAGTTTTTGCTTAACAGCAGGATTCAACGTTTGAAAGGAATCATATGCTGAAGCCCAACATATATACAGTCAAGATAAAAAGCAAGCAGCTCTGGTTGAATGTTGAAAGGAGAGGCGTGAGGCCTACCTGCTGCTCCTCCCTTCCCCTCCCCTCCCCCTCCCCTCCCCTCCCCTCCCCTCCCCCTCCCGCTCCCAGCCCCTCCCCTCCCCTCCCCGGACCCCGGGAGTTGACAGAGCAGTTGCCCATGTGTTGCTGTGGGAGGGGTCGAAGGAGAGGCAGCTGTGCTCTTACTACCTCAGGACAGAATACAGTTTCCTACAGAAACCATGCCATGAAGAGGGTTATAACCCCCTTCATATTACAAAAGTCAGCTTAGCCCATGATTGATCTAAAACACAACGAAAGGAGTAGAAGCAGAGCCGCAGGAGCAAGACCAATCAGGTCACCTAACGCTGGGAGTCCACTCAAAGAGGAGGTGGGACTTGAGTTAACTTTTGCCTTGTAATGGCCTAAATATATACTTTTACTTCTTAATTATCCAGGAGCAAACTGGTTTGAGAATCAACCAAATTTGAAGGAGGGAAGGCTGCTGGAAAAACACAGATAACCCCCAAATGTCAGTTAAAACAAAATGATGGACAGCTCTGGATTATCTGTCAACAGCGCCGCTCCACCTAAGTGGGACGCAGTCTCCCCAGGACCATGATCCTGAGACAGCGCCCTCCCCTCTGGGAGAGCAATCAGCTCAGCAGCTTGGGCTGCCTAAATAGAGGCCTGCCCTGCAGTGAGTTTGTCTAGATCCCTGCCATGCCTCAACCATGGTTAACCTGACCCAAGCAATCCGTAATCGTGGTTTTAACAGTGCTGTGCAGTTATCCCCTCCCCATCCCGTTATCTCACTTAATGTACATTTCCTCTTTATACATGTGCCTCCAGTCTCTCCAACTGGCCTGAAAACTCCTAGAAAAGAGGAGTATTAGGCTTCTTTGCCTCCCCTGTGCAGCTAGCACAGGGAGGTATTGGATAAGTAGCAGTCAGTGGGTGGATTGAATCCAAACATGGGGAATGCCTTTAGCAAAGGCAAAAAGTAGAGGAAGTTTGAGGCAGTTTAGATACAAGACAAACTATTAGCCATATCAAACTGTCAGCTGCAGAAAGGAGCACAGAACTGTGAATTTGTCTGAATGGTGATGGGCGTGGGGGGAGATTTTCACTTCTTACTTGACCTAACGTAGGACCATCTGAGCATCTACACACTCCTTTTATATGTGTTAACTAATGTCTAATAGGAATCTAATATAGAACAGCAGCCATGGTGCTTAATAGTTAGAGCAAATGAAACCATTAGAATCCCAGGATTGTGAGAGGGATTTGGGCCCAAGGACTTATACCCAACTAGCAACTGAAACTCTGTCCTACCCTCCCAATCCCACAGCCTAGAGCATCACCAAGAGCTAAACCCTAAGGGATAAAGCATTCCAAGCTGATGAAAGGCTCTTTCCTGCTACAGAGAGGATGCACTCACTGTGCCAGGGATGACAATGAATGGGCAATGGACCTATGAGTCCTGGCTGAGGGAAGAGCCTGGGGAAAAATTTTCATGACCGCCAGGGACTCCCAAGGCAGGCATGAGGCAAAAACATTGGCACAAGTCACAGAAGCCAACTGGGCAGTGTTCAGAGGCTACCTGCCACACAGCACCATCCTCCAACACGGGTCAAGAGGGGTCACAGTAGCTCATGAAGCTCAATAACAAACAAACGACCAAATCAAACAATGGGCAGAAGACCTAAATAGACATTTCTCCAAAGAAGACATAAAGATGGCCAACAGGCACATGAAAAGATGCTCAGTGTTGCTAATTATTAGAGAAATGCAAATCAAAACCTCAATGAGGTATCGCCTCACACCGGTCAGAACGGCCACCGTTAAAAAGTCTACAAATAATAAATGCCGGAGAAGGTGTGGCAAAAAGCGAATCCTCCTACACTGTTGGTGGGAATGTAAAGTGGTGAAGCCACTATGGAGAACAGTATGGAGGTTCCTTAAAGAACTAAAGATAGAGTTACCATATGATCTAGCAATCCCACTTCTGGGCATATATCCAGAAAAGACAAAAACTCTAATTCAAAAAGGTACATGCACCCCAATGTTCACAGCAGCACTATGTACAATAGCCAAGACCTGGAAGCAACCTAAATGCTCATCGACAGATGAATGGATAAAGAAGATGTGTTAGATATATACAATAGAATATTACTCAGCCATAAAAAAGAATGAAATAATGCCATTTGCAGTAACATGGATGGATCAAGAGATTATCATACTAAGTGAAGTAAGTCAGAGGAAGACAAATATATGATATCACTTCTATGTGGAATCTAAAAAAAATGATAAAAATGAACTTATTTACAAAACAGAAAGACTCACAGACATGGAAAACAAACTTATGGTTACCACAGGGGAAGGCAGGGGAGGGAAAAATTAGGAGTTTGGGATTAACGGATACACACCACTATATATAAAATAGATAACCAACAAGGACCTACTGTATAGCACAGGGAACTATACTCAAAATCTTGTAATAACCTATAATAGAAAAGAATCTGAAAAACACATATATATGTTTATATATGTGTGTGTGTGTATATATACAAAACTGAATCACTATGCTATACACCTGAAACATGGTAAATCAACTATACTTCATTAAAAAAAATTCTTTGACACCTCAAAGAAGAGCAGTCACAGTCTTGTGACAAGGAGAAACATGAGTCAGAGTCAGCCAGGTAATTATTGTTATGGTGACCAGCAATTTCATTGCACAGCAGAACTGCCAGGTAACCTAGAACAGCAAGGCTTCAAACAGCAAAGGCTTCAGGAGGGCCAAGCATAGCACAAAGGAGATGCTCAGAGCCACCTAGCCAGACCCATGACCAGGCTAGAAATTCTTAGGTCTTAAAGGTTCCCGACACATTTGGACAGGTCAGATCTGTTGGAGGCCAGGTATTCTCCATGCCTTGACTCCAGGACCATAACAAAGCTTCCATTTCCTTTTCTGTAGAACAGGCACAATGTCAGAGAGTTGTGAGATTAAAGAAGGCAATACACATAAAACGGTTAGCATAGAGTCCGGAACAGTGAGTACTCAGTAAATGCTAGCTGTGAGCACGTGCCATCCTTGCCCTCTTGAGGCATTAGGTCTGAGCTCAGAAGAGAAAATACCTCTTCAAAGAATAAGACTATCATTTATGGAGGACCATGTGCCAGCCACTATAATATATACTCATTTAATCATTAACAGTTCTATTAATAATTTACAAACCATAAAATTCAGCCATTTCAAGGGTATAATGCAATGATTTTTACTAAATTTACAAAGTTTTGCAACCATTGCCACAACCCAATTTTACATTTCCATCATTCCCCAAAGATCTCTAGTGCCCATTTGCCGTCACCCCCCCCTTCCCATGCCCGACCCCAGGAAGCTGCTAAACTACTTTGTCTTTATGATTTACCTGGACGTTTGGTATAAATGGATTCATATACAGTGTGGGTTTTTGCATCTGGCTTCTTTCATTTGGTATGTTTTTGTGCTCCATA